TGTGTCCTCTCTCCCTCCCTCCCTCTCTCTCTCTCTCTCTGTGTCTTTGTCTGTCTGTCTGTCCGTCTCTCCCTCCCTCAGTCTCTGTCTCTCTCTCTCTCTCTCTGTCTGTCTGTCTCCCTCCCTCCCTCTCTCTCTCTCCCTGTGTCTTTGTCTGTCTGTCTGTCCGTCTCTCCCTCCCTCCCTCCCTCTCTCTCTCTCTCTCTCTCTCTGTATCTGTCTGTCTGTCTCCCTCCCTCTCTCCCTCCCTCTCTCTCTCTCTGTGTATCTGTCTGTCTGTCTGTCTTTCTCCCTCCCCCTCCCTCCCTCCCTCCCTCCCTCTCTCTCTGTCTGTGTCTCTGTCTGTCTGTCTCTCTGCCTCCCTCCCTCCCTCTCTCTCTCTGTGTCTTTGTCTGTCTGTCTGTCCGTCTCTCCCTCCCTCCCTCCCTCTCTCTCTCTCTCTCTCTCTCTGTATCTGTCTGTCTGTCTCCCTCCCTCTCTCCCTCCCTCTCTCTCTCTCTGTGTATCTGTCTGTCTGTCTGTCTTTCTCCCTCCCCCTCCCTCCCTCCCTCCCTCCCTCTCTCTCTGTCTGTGTCTCTGTCTGTCTCTCTTCCTTCCTCCCTCTCTCTCTCTTTCTGTGTATCTGTCTGTCTCTCTGCCTCCCTCCCTCCCTCCCTCCCTCTCTCTCTCTTTCTCTCTCTCTCTCTCTCTCTGTCCGTCTCTTTAGGGGCGTGGTCAATCTGGGAGTATATACATTTTAAATTAATTTTTTTCATTTAATAATATAAATTATTTATTAATAACCTAATATGTATATGAAATAATTACCAAAAAATTAATTAATCTTAAAAAAAAAATAATCTGTTTTCAAAAGTTTCAGATAAAGTTTGTTTATGATTATAGTCTAAAGCTAGTCTCCTTAGTGTATTATTGGTCCTGAGAGATTTTATCAGCACCAGTACTCCATCAGTATCAATTTTAGTACCCTCCAGCCAAAGGTAAGATAGTGTGTGGTTGTAGAGTAAAAGTTCAGCTAGTGACTGAGCACTGGTTGAAGTGATGTCAGGATTGTTATTAAGACGTAAGTTAGTAATTGTTTTATTATTAATTAATGATTGTGTTAGTGCAATGACTCCATCATTATTGATGGAATCATCTCTGATCACTAGTGTTTTTAATGAAGTATTGTTTGTTATTTTGTGTGACAGTAAGAGGATGACATCTTTTGTTATTTTAGTGTTTCTTATCCTAATCTGCTTTATTGTTCTTATGTCCAGTGCTAGTGACATCATCAAGTATACAATATCAGTTGATGAGTGATGGAGGTGAATGTTCCGATGACTGTCCGTTAATTGACTGATCACTTCCTGACATTGACCTGCTGCTGGTTTAGTGAGGACTACATCATACCTGGTCCACTCCACCTTTCCAGTCTCTTTTCCTAATAATAAACACAGTCAGTCAGTTAATGTGTGTATATTATTATTTTAATACAGTATAATAGGTAAAATGATAATATTATATTATTTTATTAATGATGTTTGTTTGTGTGTTGTTCCAGATGATGCTGGTTTTTGTACCAGTAAGTCATTACAGCTGCTAGGATGGAATGGGTGTGGTCTATCTTTTATTATGTGACAGGAAACAAAAATCAATTGTATGTTTTATTAATGTATTGGAATCAATAATTATTGTCCCTCCCTCTCTCTCCCTTCATCACTCTCATTCTCATTCTTTCTCTCTCTCTCTCTTTTTATAGTCCTTGGTCCATTATGTCAGCTAGTCAACTTCAAAGCACAAGCTAATGTAAGCATATACCATATACATGTATCTGGTAATTATACTATATCCCAACTGAGTTTGACAGCAGCTGCTTGGAATTTGAAATATGTAGCCATACATCACTAATGATGTCTGATAATGATATTCATAGAAGCATGGCTGATATTTTACAGCTGCATGGTTGGCCTGTATTTGACTCTTAAATGGGTTTTGTTTGTTCTGATAAGCAGTACAATAGCTGCTGGAGTCAACTAGTCTTCATAAAGGCCATCATTATGGAAAGATCTTGCTCTGTTAGCTTTTTAAAAGAAGAATTATCAGTTTGGGCAAATGACTACATGTTCTTATGTAAACTATGACATAGACAAATTGTCATAAAACTTCATTTTGGTATGCCATTGGGTTTATAGGGAGAACCCAGTTCTCAGGGTTCCCAAGGGCTGAGAGACCCAAGACCTGAGATCCTGTGATGGCATTGGGCGACAAAATCTCATCCTTATCCCACATTCCTATAAAAAGTTATTCCAGTTCTTTTGGGTCAAATTCAGTTGGGATATAGTACATGTATATCTATTTTGAATTTTTGCATTTAAATGATATTTCTCTCTTTTCATTCTTTCTCTTCTTTAGAGCAGAAGATTCTATATGATAACTTACAATTATACTGACTATGATTTTTGGTAATTTTTACTGTGTTTTTGTGAATTGTTTTTATAAAGTTTTATTGTCAAACTCAATCACTGGTGCTTCTATACAATGGGACATGAAAGTGTCTCTGTTATACAGAGGTGTCCTTTATATGGAGGTTATTTTATAAAGTAAGGAATGTAATTGGTACACTAGGTGCTGTCCATTAGGAGGTATGCACTATAGAGAGTGTTTGTTAATAGAGGGTTTACTGTATTAATGGTAAAACATGGCAGATCTCGTGGCAGATTCAATGTTTGAGACAGACTCTTGTGTCAAGGGGCACCATATCTACAAATCAGTGTGGACATTAGTGATGGGGAAGATCATCATCTTTGACCTAGGCAGTATGCTTAAAATAGCAATACAGAGTAACAGAGACATCAGCCTGACTGAGAACACGACTTGACATGAGGGCACGTTTATTAGTAAGGCGTGGTTAACCATGCCTCTCAATTAATATTAATTTTCGGGGGTTTAATTTTTTGTGATGCAAACAGTGATCACGAAAATACGAAAATTTATTCTTCACGAATTTTTTGGCTATACGGTATTATGTGTGTGTATTAATATTAGTATCAAATAACTCACCTCCACCAGTTAGTAGTATTTCTTTTATTTGAGTGTGTCCTCTTTCATTTGCTATCTCTACTGCACTCTTTCCTCTCTCATCTTTACTGTTAGGATCAGCTCCTAACTGCAGTAGCATTGATACTTCAAAAAATTCACAACCTTTAACTGATTCATGGAGCGAAATGTCAAAATTGTTATTATCTTTTCTTCTCATAGGAATTGCTTTATTGTTAACAGCAACTTCCAATATTCCTAATCTACTCATTGAGTTTGTTTTGTTATTGATAACATCAATAAGAGACTGTGATAGTGAGGTTGGTAGTAACAGTGTAACAACAAATGAACCATAATCAAAGCTAATGTGACTGAAGAGATTTGACGTTACTCCAAAGTAATGCTTGAAAACTATCTTGAGTTTACTTATTGTCATTTCTTCCCATCTGTCATTCAGTTTAATAACGACTGGTTTTGTTTGATCGCTAGTGGTTGGTGAGGCTGCTGCTGGTAATGATGACAATTTCTCTTTGATTGTTGATCGTATGTGCTTCAATTGTGATGATTCTGAGAATTTATCAACACTATCAATGTATTCAGTTAGTTCAATTTGTGCAGTTAAAAGGTACTGTTTTGCTAAGTGTTGAAGTACACCACCACAGCTGAAGAAATCATAATGAGGCTGAAGAGAATCAAATAGTTCATCAACATTGCCATATTTCAAACTGGATACTTGAATGCTTAAATAAGCTGCTGCACTCCTAGCTACAGCTTTAAGCTTCACTTTACCCTTTTCCACAAGCTCCTCAAACTCATCTCTTATATTAGAATCAAGAGATGCAAAATGAGAATGAAGACTTTTAATATTGGCAGCAACTTCACTCTTTGAACTGAGCTCAATGACAGTAGTAGGAGTAGATGATTGTGATCCAGTGATTGTTGGTTGTGGTGTGTGAGATTGTGCAGTGACATCCACTGCTTGAAGTGGTCCCTTACTGACTGATGGTTGCTGCTTTAGATTAGGATCAACATGACCACCTTTCATTTCTATTGTTAAAAAAAATAAATAAAATTAGAGGTATAAACAATTGAATCTTACTTAAATTTTCTATTAGTTTAGATGCCATGTTCTTTAGTCCTACTTTCTGTAGTGAAGTAATGAGAGAAGAGAACACACTGTTAGGATTAGCATGACACTCAAGTGTTGCTAGTACTGAAGAGAATATTTTATTAGCTCTATCATAAGGAGTGAGTCCTGCAGTACTTTCAACAGTAACATGTACTGCTTTAGGAATGAGATCAGATGAAAAGAGATGATTGTTTAATTGAGAAATAACTGGAGCATTTCCTGCCAAAAGATCAACAAGATCAGCTAACATCTCTTTCATTGTAATGTATTCTGGTGACATTGATCCTTCCATTGGTTTGAATGATGATGGATCTTTCTTCCCCTCCTTATCTTGCAGTACTGTTGCTGTTAGATCATGTGGAACTGATGATGAATCTTGAGATCGTCTTGGCTTAGGTGCTGGTGGTGGAGGTTTTTTAGCTATTGATGGTCGGTGTGGTTTAGGTGCAGTTGTTGGAGGAAGTTGTGCTTTTGGTGAAGGTTGTGCAGTTGTTGATCGTTGACGTGGTTTAGGCGCTGTTGGTGGAGGTTGTGTGGTTTGTGAAAATGGATGTGGTTTTTTTGCTGTTGTCAATGGTTGAGATTGTCCCCTTTGAGATAATGATTTTGGTTTAGGTGCTACTGGGGGAGGAGACTTTAGTGTCTTTTGTGATGAACCTATTAACAGTAATTTAATAAAAACTGACATGCTTGTTCATTACATTAGCTAATTTTAATACACTTTCTGAAACATTTATACCTTTTATTTTTTCAGTAGCTACTCTCATTTCATGTAGCAGTGTTGCATGTTCTTCAAATGCTTTTCTAAGAAGAGACATTCCTTCACCATCACTAGCAGCATTTCTAATCTTTCTTATAGTATCAGCATCAAGCAGTGGTAGAGACTCCTCCAGTTGTCCTTTGATCAATAACTCATGAATCTCTATCAATTCCGATACTTTTAGTATATCCATTAATGCAATAAGAGAGAGTGGAGGACCTCCTATCAATGGCTTGTTTGTACCTGTAGGAGGAGCTGGTCCTATTGTTGACGGAAAATGAAGATAATTAATAATGTAATAATATTCATTATGAAATACTATTAGCAGTTTTCATGACACATTTCCTTATCATTGTGCATCATAGTAACAGTAGTAATACAATGATAACTGTTACTACAGTGCTTACCAATTGTACATTGTTTACCACTACATATACTAATAATAAATAACATTTTATAGCTAAAATAATACACTCTTAGATAACATTAGCGTGATAATTCTATTACCATGCATGCATGAAAGACGGTAGCAATTATTTCAATGAAATTAAGTATTTCATAGCAATCATGCTTTTTTAGAAATCATTGCAGTTATTATGCATTTTATACATAGTTTAACAGTTTAAATATCATACATTCCAAATTACAATTCTCCACCAATCTCTGAAAATACAAGTTTTCATACACCTAGATACTTTAGTCCAGTAATGTAACACTCACCAGTAGCAGTACTGTGTACATCATTGGTTCCTTTGATATCATTACCACTGATCATAGCATTACGTTCTATAGAATATACACACACAGTCAATACTAATACAATCAGTGATATTAACTTATTCTCTTGATCTAACTTGTCAGCTGCAGCATTCTCATTCATAGATTTAAGAGCATCTGACAGTGAGTCAAAGGTAGCTCCTCCTTTACAGTCAACATTATCAGCTCTGGACAACCACTTGGAGAGACACTCTGTCAAGCATTGATATACATCACCAGGATGATTCCTTTCAATGGCATCCAGTGTGTTCTTGTGTAGTCCTATAGTGTCAGTCCTAGTTCCTTCCATCTCCTCTGAGGAAAACCACATCTCTTCAACAGATTAAGTACATCAATAAGTTGCTCTAAAATCATATTCAATGATACATAGATAGTTAATGAACATTACCAATAGTCAAAGGAGAAGAGAAGAGACTCAGGGAAGAGGAACAAGAACTGGTTTTAGTTGCCATTGATCAAAGAACAAGCCTCGGAACAAGCTAACCCTTCAGCTAACTGGATGCAAGCTTTGCAAAGGAATGCAAAGGGTGGGGCTCGTTATTGAACATATGACATTAGAAATCAGAAACTCTGAATTAAGATAAATATTATTAAGTCATTAATTAATTTATTTATCTATTTAGTAGATGGACAGATTGTGATGGTGGATTATTATCAGTTAGTAGTATATTTATACTTTATTGTTCTCATCTCTCTCCTCCTATCCTTTCTTTCATTTTCTCTCTCGCAGGAGCTTGTAGCTTTAAAAGACTCTCACTGATGTATTTAATGTAAGTAACGTTACCTAATGCATGTGTTTAAATGTATTTTATTAATTGATTAATATTAGAGAGTGTTTGAGTGAGAATGTCAGGTTATTTTTATTTTAATTCATCCAGAAAAGTACATGTACACAAAGCTAACTTTTTTAATTGCATGCTTAAAAGTTATTTCAAATTTTTATTACATTTTCTGATACATATTACTGTCCTTATGCTGTGTAGAAAATATGGGCTTAATCATGAATGAAATTTTTTAAGTTATGGCAATTTTAAAAATCAGTGAATTAATCAAAAATTCCTAAAGCTATACTGCTTTTGTTCAATTAATGGCTCCAAAATTGACCCCAATTTTTATTATATTTAAAATACAAATTAACATCCTTATACTATGTAGAAAGTTTGAGCTGATTCTGACTAAGAATTTTTGAGTTACGTCCATTTTTTAAATGCCAAAATTCTGAAAAATGTCCAACTAAGGCTATAGCCTATGGTTTTTCCCAAGAAATGAATCCAAAATCACCCCAAATTTTAATTACATGTTCTGATATATATTGATATATTTATGGTGTGTAGAAAGTTTGAGCTGATTACAACTTTAAATTTTCAAGTTAAAGTCATTTTAACAAAATACAAATATTCTGAAAAATACCCAAGAATATAGCCCATAATTTTGTTCCAAATAATGGCTTCAAAATTACCCCCCTTCCCCATTATTATTGTATTTTTAAAGCATATTAATCTCCTTATGCCCATGTGTGTAAGTCAATTAATTCCAATTAAGTTATGGTATGGCAGCATGAAGTTAGAAATCAATAAATACTAAGCATCATCTCCCCTTGTCTTATACAACTTATTGTATTGTACATTGTTTCTATAATGACAGTAAAATTCCATACCATCAAACATTAACTTTACAACTTGTACAGTACATGCATAAACACTGTAGTGGAATGACACACAAAAATATATTTTAAGAATATTATTTATTATGCTACTGTTGCTACATGAGCAGTGAAGTGAATAATGTCAGTGTTTATTCATTGTATATTTATAATGGGAACAGTCTAAGCATCAGTTATAGGTTAGCCCTCTCTCTCTCTCTTTATTAAAGACAGTGGTTCATGATGGATAATATTAATGATAATTTCACACTAAGTGATGTCATCAATGGCCTACTGCTAGCTGCTGCATTTGCTACAGAGATGATTGGAGGACTCATAACTAACTCATTAGTACTGATACTCACCGCCTCTCATCTAAAGACTTGGAAGCAACCAACAACCATCTTTCTCTCTAACATGCTCCTCAATAACCTGGTCGTTGGGATCTGTATCATTCCTTTTACTATCATAACAGCTGCTATGGGTGAGTGGATCAATTTCGAGGCTTTAACATAGTTTGTATGAAATAAGAATACAACTTTATGAGTGTATTTAATAATCACAGTGTAGTCTTGTGGATATGGCACAAGATCTGATTTTAGCAATGATTAATCCTCCTACCTTCATTTCTTGTCCATGGAGAGAGAGAGAGAGAGTAATAGAGTATATACATATAAACAACTCATGAATAATTCTCTTTGATGTTTGAGGTATTAAAATTGTGTAAATCCTGGGGCCACGATCGCGTATACACTTG